AGTAGTAAGAATTGAAGTTGAAAAGGATAAGGTGGTTGCGCCAAGAGATTTTGTCCCGCTCGGTGGGTTGTCCCGCTCGGTGGTGGATTACGTTAAAGGAAGAAAAATTTTACAACGCTGTCGGGGGTATTCATTGACCTTGGACTCATGGATCAAAGGACGAGCACTTGAGAGCGAAACAATTGGGCGAAATCCCTGATGAAAAGCGTTGGAGGGGTGCTCGTGGGGCAGTACCTATGAAATTGTCCGGTAGAAGCGAAAACCTCAAGTTGGGTTGTCATCTTGGCATCCCGGTTCCCCGATGCACGATGCAACGCAATACAAACCGTCCCACAAAGGGTAACTCCGAGCATCCCCTGTTGTCTCCTGAACAACATGCATGCACATTTGGCAGCTTGCAAAATCGGCTTGAAAAACCGATTGCGGAGCAACAGACCATAGCCCATGGGCAATCTTGAGCGTCCTCACCCGATCCTGCTCCAAGCAACCCTATGGGATCTTCCAGCAGACAACAAATCCCATTGAGTGCCTTCTATTCATACTTCCTGACGGGCATTTGGAACCTCTTCTTTCCCGTCGTAAACCAATCTACTATCGCACCCAGAATCACCGCCAAGAAAATCGGACCCGAATAATTCATCGTCTCTGATGTTACCGGCCACGTCTGTGGAAGCGGCATCCACGCAATGCTGTAAAGAATGAAACACAGGGCAAAGGTGTTGACGTAAATTCCAATCTTTCCCATCTTGAAAGGTCCATAGGGTGGATCTGGTCCTCGTTTCTTTCGAAGTATCATAAAAGAGATAGGAATGACGTATGATCCGTTCAGGGCGAGCGATTGTAGGCTTAGCAAGGCGCTGAAGGCGTGTACGCTGCCTATATAGATGAGAGAGAGACCGCCAACGATGACACCAATAAGAATCAGTGCGTTCAGATGAAGATTGAGAGTGGGATGGATCTGTGGAGAAAAGATTAGCACATGTTTCCAAGGGTCTTACATCGGTCATGAAACTCACCTTAGAGAGCCAGTTCGAATAAGGAAGACCATTATCCATTGCAAAACACCAGATCAGACGTGACACTGATGCAAACGAGTTGAACGTCCAAATGGTGAAAAGTATGAAAACCCCGATGAGAATAGCGTTCGTAGCAGCCCTAGAATTTGTGGCATTGTAAACGATGTCAATAAGCGGAAGGGGTGACAGCATAAGCTGGTCGAGAGGCGGCATGCAGTAGAGAAGCACTACGCTGAAGATCATCAGCATGACCGAGTTGCTGACGACTGCGAAAACCATGCTGTGCGGAACACGTGTCCGGACTTGCTTGATTTCGTCACCTATCTATGTGTTAGACTAGATACCGATGAGCAGTTTGATTTCCATACTTAAGTGGAGAATGCTGTCAACGCCCGAGAAGCAGAGAACGGGCGTTAGCGTCCCTATTCCAAACGAGACGCCCTTATTGCCCCAACCGCTTTGCTCCCACGTCAAGGTTTTGAAGACGAAGCTAGAATCATGTTTTGGCCCAGACGCGAGGAGCAGGGCTATGACAACAATCATAAGGCAGACTTGCCCAATGGCCGCACTCATCTCAAGTGTGTTGAGGACTTTGCGAAACCACAGGTTGACGAGGTAAGGAACCACCATGAAAGCAACCATCAGCAGGCTGAAATGCCACCGCTCTGCAACAAAATTGGAGTTGTTAAAAGAGGCTAACGATGTGGCGATCAACGCAAGCGTTGGTGGCCCTCCAGTGCACGCAAAGCACCAGCCGGCAGTTGCAATCCATCCTGAAACTGTTAGCCATGCCTACCCTCAGCTGTTTGCCCACAACAAGCGGTTACCCTGTAACAGACCCCAGAAGCGGGGAGAAAAGGGTGCCGAATTTGCTGACCAGCGATACTGCGCGCCAACTGTGGGGTCGCTACCCTTTGTCAGACTTGGGTGGTATCAGTAGGACGTCGGATGATAACCTACATTGAAGCCAGCTCTGCTAGGGAGAGAGCAACGGCAGTTTGCCCCACGCAGGCCAGCATGCTGCCATAAAAATGACCGCAGGGCCACCGTTCAATAGCGGGAGCTGCAAGGTTATATAAAACCCAACCCAAGCGCACAACAGGACGAAGCTGAAGCACCAGGTAGAGGGACGATTGATATAACGCTACTTCTGTTTAGCATAGAAATCAGATTAGAGTAGCAAACAATTCGCACTTCTCTGGATTACATACCTCCAATGCGTGAGAGCCTTCGTCGCCATCGCTTCCGACTTGTGCCAGCTCCTCTACATTAGCATGGCCCTTGGTCTCCATACGCAGAAGAAGATAGACGCGATGCTGTTGGGTGATGGGCGTGTGAGAGGTATAATAACAGAAAGCGTAGCCCCGGAAGAGGTCTATCCTGCTCGCATAGGAGGCGTGCTCTATGGAAAAGACCTTGCGATATGGTAACGGAGCATGCGTGGAACCGTTTATATTTAGGCCAGACTGGTACGGATGGAGTCCGATAAATGCCGCCCAACTGCACAACGTTAGTCGCAGTGCAGGGAAACTTTAAAACGGTTCAACCTTATCTTCTAGGGGGGGTAATTGCTCCTCTAGTTCTAGGTCTGCAATATACACCCCTTGGCGCAGCAGTTGCGCCAATAAGGCGACAACGTCGGATGCATGTTTACCGAGTGTAGGGTTCGATGCGGCGTCGCAATTGAACACCCACAACCATCCCCAGACAATTGTCTTCAACTGCACAACGTTAGTCGCAGTGCAGGGAAACTTTAAAACGGTTCAACCTTATCTTCTAGGGGGGGTAATTGCTCCTCTAGTTCTAGGTCTGCAATATACACCCCTTGGCGCAGCAGTTGCGCCAATAAGGCGACAACGTCGGATGCATGTTTACCGAGTGTAGGGTTCGATGCGGCGTCGCAATTGAACACCCACAACCATCCCCAGACAATTGTCTTTCGAAACAACCGAGCACACTTGGGGTGCAAACATTGGCCGAAAAATATGCACTCACGGCAATCCCTTGCCTGGGGCACTTTGCATCTGCATGGCGCCTATCGCTTCCCGCGCGTCGGAAGTTCCAGAGGCTCCTCGAGGCCGTCGAGTGTGCTGTAGTTGCACCCTGGGTAGTATATACCCGAGCGCTTAGACCAAGGAGCCACGTACGGTAGTCCGTTGTCGAGCAGATGCCTTGCGTCTTCGTTGCGGTTCCAGACCGCAAGG